GTCTTCCCTCTTGGCCTCTCTTGCGCTGACAATCAGATTTCACCGACCCACATTGGTGTTCCAAGACTCTATGCTGATTAGTATGCATCTTGGTCTCCGGAGATGTTCTTATGGATGCTGATGGTGCATGACTAACTTCGTAATATTCGGCCATCTGTCGTATGATCGGGTGAGCTTACTCCAATCTTTGTTTGCCAAGCTGATAAAGAATTACCTTGTCATCAATGGTTTAGCCCATTGTTTTATAACGGCATTTTGATGCGGCATTCTAAGACGAGATATTAGTAAGGTATTACTCTTAAAGCCGTTGTCAGAAACATATCTATACGATCGTTGTTTGAACACTTTCGTTTTCAGGGGCTCGATTCAAACTTCGCCGCCCTCGAAAAGTTTGCAGAACTCCCAGCTGGTCGCGAGCTTTTGCACAAATGCTTTCACTTAATTCCCCAAAACTGGCCTCCAAATTTGGATTTAGCTCATTGTTTCTAGGTTTGAGTTCGAATACAACATCTTATGTCAAATCTCTTCTCGTTGGCATAGTATTTTCTATTCCCTTTCTTTTCATTGCATCTCTACAAATTCGTTGGATTTCTCTAGTTCTCCTTTCGCACATTTGCAATTCTGGTCATTATATCAGCCAATCATTCATATCTTTTGGTTTCTCTGTTGCAATTTCTACAAATAAAAGTATTAGTTTCTCGACTTTAAAATAAAATGTCACTTGTTTGATCCGTATCAAAACAAGATAGCCTCCCTCATGATCGAGTATCAGCCTTCGGACTTTGAACATGTACACCATTTGATTTTCTCGAGCGCAAGCAACAACTGCTTCAAGTTCGCTCACAACTAAATCCATGCCTGCTGTAATGTTACATACATAATTTGGGACATTTCAATTAGAAGTCACTATACTCTTCAAATGAGAATGGTGACAAACTGTGAGAGAGCGAGAGTCTTGTTGTTAAGATATGTTGAGCTTATCGAAGGTAGCGATTTGGAGGAGATGATGATGTTCTTGTTGCTGTTGATGGAGATTGATGTAGGGTTTGATCTCCTCCTTTTATATATTTGTGCTTGATATTGATAAGGGATGAATGTTGATGCATTCCATTGACTTGAATTTTTCTTATTTTATATACTGGCGAACCAATAAGACTGAGTTTTTCAAGGGTATTTTCAGATTTGGGTTTTCTCTGTCGTCCACAACAAATCCGCATGGATAAGAGACACTCTACTTATTGAAAATATATTGTTACGTTGAGACGCAACTGCAACCCCCATCAATCAGGTTACACACCTGAACTTTGCGCTGTATGGGAAATGGCATAGCATGAAAGAGAGTAGTAGACACCAACTTCCCTACAAAGGCCAATATGAGATATTCTTTCCGCATATACAAAAGATATTTGAGGCAAAACCTTGTATTGATGATTAAGTTCACGCGAAGTGAGGCGCCGGGATGTTGCCACTGCTCAAGGTTTGAGGTGTGATATGAAAACATTCTTGAATGTCAACATTGATCGATTTTCCTATTTGAACTCAAGAGCGATATCTGTGAATTTCCAATTAAATGTACTACGTGAGGATGTATCATCTTCGGATACCTGGCCAAGTAAATGGTCACTCGTCAAGACCTTGGCTTGAACCACAAAATACTTCCAAAACAGCTGTCGGTAGCTGGTGTGACACTTCTCGAATAAAAAGAAACAGACTAGTGAAACTTCTATCGGAGTAAAATACCTAAATTATCCGGATTCTTGTGGATGTGACAGAATTGCCCGAAGCCAATCATGATGAACTGGAATGAGCTCACATTACACAGCATCATCCGATAATTCTTAATTCTCCAAGACGTTGTACTAAAGGCTTTTCATCCATAGCTGATCTCACGTCTACCGATACAGTGAATATAAAGATCTAGTCGTGACTTTGGTGGCGTACTGCCATTCGAGGTCTATTATTTTCCTGGTGATTGAGATTGGAGGATCAGAAACTGCAGTTCAACGGTTCTCTGATCCAATGCATGATATCTCATCGACGGGCTAGTTCTGAAAAGATGTCAGGAAACCCCTGAAATAAAAACCGAATTCAATCTTTTCAGTTTTCCTATTCCATTATTCATCCTTTCACTCTTTCATCGACTACCCTTTCCTCCGTTGCCAAAGTTCTGTATTCTTTCGATCATGCATTTTTTATATCAATCCTTATCAAACTCATCAGAAGAATAGACAAATGACTGAGAAGGTACAATGTTTTCAGATGCCACTTTATTAGAGAATTGGAATCAAGATACCCGATGCCGATAACCATAACTTAGTCGACAATCCAGTATCATCCAGCTAAATGGTCTTGTTTTCCTATACTATATCGCAATCATTTTCTGATAGTTAAACATTTCAGCCTCAGCTTTTCGAAGACCCAATGTACCCCATTGTGAGATATTTGATGATCCTAGCACTAGCCGTGGGGGCTCTCCACTGACTGATATCAATCTAGCTCCTGCTCTTAAAACAATAACATATCAACAACAAACATGCACTGAGACCGATGTACACCATGGCCCATTTTTAGGACACCCTCGACCCGAGATTGTCGCAAAATAGCATGAGCTCCTGACTGGTATGCAGCAATAGACCTTTATAATTCTGATTGCTTGATATTGTAAGTGTGTAGACAAGCTAAGTTATCTAAAGCTTGGGACAGTGAATTGGAACCTGAGATAATGCAAGGAGTTGGCGGTGAAGAGATGGGGTTGAAATTTCCAGGTAGCGATAGATATGTATGAACTCTTAAAGTTTTTCATGAACTCCACTGTGTTGTAAGTCCAAGTCATACCACATTCCATGCTTCTCAATAGACTAAGAAAAAGCCAAAAATGTCTGTACTCTAACACCTCAACGGAGGTATTGGGCAGATCTAAGCAAAAACCAACGGGAAGGTGATCGTGGGCACGATGGTAGTACCAACCCCAATACTTTTCGGTGATTCATCGACCAGAAGCCATAGAACATTGTCTCGATTGTCTACGTCACGCAGCTATGTGTCATGGAGGCGTTGAAAACTTGAAATTGTGAGATGTAAATTGTCTAAAGGTAGTTTGATGCCAGTGACCAATCAAACCACACATCAGGATCTTCTTGACTGGAAGAGGTTGGAAGACTGGAGTAAAGATAGGTGTGTTGATATGACGAAGCCGGGGTGTCTGATGCTGCATGCAACGAGAGGTAACCTTGAGCTTTCACAAAAAGTAGGAATTCATCTTGACATGATTACAGGTCCTAGTTATCCTGATGGATAAAGAGGTCGGCTTCGATCATTCAAAGGGGCTGATGAGATTGGTCCATGGCCATTAACACGGCTAGGCCTACATCAGTTAACGTTGTATGGTGCAGTCAGCGCTGCACAATTCCGATGTTGATGATATTCAAAAATTGGGAAGACTAAAATTCAAGTGAGAAGATCTCTAATTCTCTGATATATCCTTTCATATCCTGTCCTGGAATAGTGATCTCAATTTACAGAAGACAAATTGGTGAATAACAGGATAGGCAACAAAACCTGATAGTCATATCAGTTCTGAACATCAAAGATAGTGAAGTAAGTTTGTGAATAATGAGACATGCAAAGACTTTCACAAACTATGTATAAAGACACACAGTCAATGACCAAGAGAGAAGTACAGATTGAAACCGCCTAGCCACGTCACGTCTTAACTTCAATTTTAGCATTGTTAGACTCCATCAATGTTAACAAACCTCACGTGAACCTTCTCAATGATCTCCACATTCTGTGACTCCAAAGCCAATCCATCTACCATGGTCCTCTGGTCGGCGCCTATGCCTCTTCTCGGCACCATCGCCACATACCCCTTTCTTTTCACTGCCTTGAGATTGGTCCCATTATCTCTTACTTCTGTCGCTGCGACTTCCCTGCCAAGAACCCTCGCATAATCATCCGCTTTACTAATTGAATCTTTGATTGCCTGTTCTCTCCCTAAAATCCCAGCGGCCTTTTTTGTCTCCTCGGTCAAAGACCAACTAGCCGAGCGAATCTCTGCGTTGGGCGTGATGAATATAGAACTCGCCACTTCAGCGAGTTTCTCAAAGTCTTGAAACTTGACTTCGAAATTTGAAGATGCTTCGTAAGCACGAGTCTAAGGTTCGTCATTAGAACCATAGTCTGGAGGCTGTCAGGAACGCGTGCGAAGATTAGTCATGGAGTAAATAGTTACTGGAGGCTCTTGACTTGCAGCGTTGGCAGAATTCGAAGAGTGTGATGGTTTTGTGGATAATTGCTTGAAGAGAGCTTCGAGATTATTGGATGCTTGGGTTACTGCCTCGGAAACTGATATTTGTGAGGTGCCTTCTGAGGTTACGGCAATGACTAAATTGCCACATTCAGATGGGAGTTGCACTTGTGAGGTACCTTGGATGTAAATTTCGAGTGGTGGTGCTGACATTTTGAGGAGTTAGAGAATCTAATAGTGGTTTCTATCAGATACTATCAGATACTGGCAATGGCAGAAAAAGATTCTCTATTTCGCGGCTTTTATGTTGGTCAGGGGAGCGTATCACGTGAAATTCTCACTCCTCGCATGTGGCAAAATGAATCACTGATCCCACAAAGGATGCGGGGAAAGTCTAGTCATATTGACATCACTGTAATAGAATGAGTCCTAACATGCAAGACATGTCGATCCTCATCCTTTTCACTGCAAATCGATGGTCTCGCACTTGTGAGAATCCTATCATTTGGAAGTCAATAATTCGATCTGGTAAAAATCAAAGCACGTTTTGAATGAATGTCGGATCAGAAGGGAAAGTATGCGGGAGTATTCGCACTACAAAGCGGTCGTTGTGACCGAGATGAGAACAAAACATCAAAGATCGAACATTGAAGATTTCGGACGCTTTCTGTGTTATGCATCGTAGTTTTGCTTCGGGTATATACTTATACATGTCAGATACTGATACATCCTGATCCTACATGACCTTCATGCCCTATAATATTGGCTTTCTCTCCTTGTACTGCTCTTCCGCCATAAAATTTTCCTCCAAAATCTCAGATTCAGTAGCTTTTTGCGCCTCTTCATCTATAACGACCTCCTCATTCCTTGCCATTGCTGCATCGTATTTCCTGACTTGCTCCATAACCTCTTCCTTCGTGATTCCAAACCCATTCTCATCTAAATGTACCTCTTCCTTCGGCGGCAATCCCATCTTCTCCCTTTGTGCCCTAAATCTCTCCTTGACAGTATCCGTCTGCATAATCCTCCATCTTAATTTCCACCCTCCCATTCCCAATTCCTTTATTCTCTGCGTCTTCTCCCCCAATAAATATTCATCCAATCCTCCCGCTTTATCGATCGTCCTCAGCACTTTTGTGGTGACTCTCAATTTTATTTGCCTTCCTAGACTTGGACTGTAGAGACGCTTCCTCTGCACGTTGGGTCGCCAATGCCGTCTCGTCTTAATTTCATTCTTCTCCGAAACTATATTTCCATAACGAATCTTCTGCAGACCGTAAAGACCGAAATTGGATTGTTTATAGAATTGCGAGGGGCCGTAAGGATATGGCGGAACGTCTGCGTGCTCGACTGCTAGCCTCTGTTTTGTGGACTTTGCGAAGATGCGAGTAGTGGAGGTGAAAGTTCGTGTGAAAGAGCGGGACACGGAGGGGTGGATTGATGGGAGAATAGGCATGGTGAAGGAGGTGACACGGGGCGCCGAATCTGGTCGTGTATAGCGGTGATTCTCAACTCGTATTGAGGTTAAATGATCCTTGTGGCTAGGAGTTCATTAATGATTGACTTCGCAGCAGACTACAAAATTGCTTCTTCTGGCCGAATATCAAATCAATGGTTTCGTTTGTCCTTATCACAATAAATTTTAGTTCCGGATAATATGTGAGCCTGAGGCCAAACGTTCAAAAATGTAGGTTTTTATTTTTACACGGCCTTCATGGAGTTCGATCGAGGCTACAAGAAACCCGACTCAATTCATTCACATCTTGTTTTATTTTTCAATTTCCTCATATATTAGATGGTAGTACCTTCTTTGTGACTTTTTGCTTGCAAATTCAACTCAAACGCCCGTTATGTTTTGATTACCGGTACATTATATTTGTGTCTCAAGTGGTGATCATTAGATTCATTACCCAGTCTCCGGTGATCACACCTTCAAAAATGACAGCCAGATTTCGTCTTGCTACCTTGATAGCAATGCATTTGAATTCGCCCCAGTTATGAGGCTTCTCGCTGACCATGCTATTCATTCCCTGCCAAATTCCCGCGTTGTCCTATCCGAGAGCCAAAAGGAACACCCTCAAGATCAAAATAATTATCTTCTTTTTTCTTTCTAGGCAAGTAGACTTTTCTTCTGCATGCCGACCAATCTGAAGACATGCGCCATTATCCTTCTGCCAAGAGTCTCCGCACATCGATTGTTTCTCGATAAATATCGAGCGTTGACAGTACCCTTGGAATGTTCCACTTGGGGTTCTCGCTGCGCTTATATTCCTCCAAAATCTCCCGTGTCGGCTGAACCAGAATTTTCTCTCGTCTTTCATCCTTTCTCTGCATACAACAAATATGTGAACCTTCTTCATAATCAATCCCTTGACTTATTCTATATAATCTCTCAAAACAGGAGTTTCTGGAATCATATCCGAAGTCATAGATGAAGTTTTCAAGGGATGGTAACACTCTTGCTATAGTATTTCCGACCGAGTTGGGAAGCGTTTGCAGCCCCTCGTGACTGAGACTGTCTTCGTAGAATACGGCGATGGCGATATTGCGGACATCTTTCATAACTCTGCCCTCTGGTTTATCTCTGATCTGGTTCAAAACATTTTTGATCCATTTCACCCAGCCTACTTCTACCAAAACTATGTCGATTCTTGGGTCGAAGACCACGATTCCAAGCCTCGGGTAGCGGGCCAAATTGTTCTTGTGATATCCGAGATATGTTCTCCGTGAATCACAATTCACGAAGTATAAAGTATGCGGTTTGAATTTTCTGGGACGCCCATATCGTAAATTCTCCACTGGGACAATGTGTCCTTCTTGTACCTCCAATGCCAAATTCCATATATGAAGCTGCAACTCGGTTGGGAGAAGAGCGAACTGTGGGAAGCTGGACATGATGCAATTAATTGTAGGTTAATGTTGGTCGGAGGAATTTGAAGCATGAGAGAACTACCTGATCTTTCAAACTTAGACAGTTCCTTCCGCAGTGATTGCTTATGGCAGTATGTAAACAAATACCGTAATGCATGGTCAATCAAATATTCAACTGAGGGGTAATAGGCTGAGGCTGAAGCTGACTGCTGCCGATTGCAGCTAATCCCTGTTAGTTTACTACCCTACCCGGTGACCCCATCAAATCAGACCAGCTTCACATGTGTTTTCTTCTTTTGACGTACTTTCTCAAAGATTACAGCATATTCGTTAATCGTTATCAACTCATCTCCATCAAACGTTCGCGAGAACAAGACAACAAAGCATGCAGTTATTTTCAAATCTCCCGATTGAATTGCGCATCAAAATTTGGGAGCATGCTCTTCCTGGCGGGAGATATATTGAGATCTATCCAACTTTCGTGAGTCGTAAAGAGATCGGATGGATTGCTGTACATTGTAAATGTTCAGCTCGCTGTCATCGTCTGCCCTCTATAGCCCACGTCAGTTCAGAAGCTCGAGCTGTATTTTTCCGCCACTTCACCACTTGTTTCAACACGTACGTTCAATGGAAGAACGATACTATCCTCATTCAAAGTACATCGGTCATTAAACGCAACCTACCCCTTGATGCAGGCTCAAAAGAAATACAAGCTTTGGACAGAATAGTTTCAGAAAGTCCGAGAAGCTCTGAATTGTCGTCCTTTGCTGTCACAGCAAACCGCTCATGGGCTCGTAATGGATTACCCCACTTTCTGAGGGCATTCAAAATTTCTGAGCCGCAAAGATCCCTCAATTTTGGAACTACTGTCCCCGAATTGCTACTCGTTGTAGGCGCCCAATTGCGTTACAAGGGGCGAAGAACTAGTTTCGATGGATTGAGATTGGATTTTTTTGATGACGACCCTATGGACCCCAATCAGCAACTGGAAAGACTTATAACAGAGAATACCATGAGATCATGGCGGGATATATGGGAAAAGGAGGGGGATGGGACGCCACCACCGTTTCGAATGGTGTCTTTCCGAAAAGGTGCCCCAAATTGCTTCAAGAATCTGTGATGATCATCGATCAAAGCAGGCGCAGGTATCATGGTCTCCTATGTTCACCATTGCAGTTTCTCTCGCAAAAGCTATAGTTTAAGAATTTGAAATGTCGATGGGGGCCAATAACTCGGTGAAACAATACTGTATCTTAAGCGATCATTGCCCCGTCTATGTAAGCGTTCATTGCTTATCCCCTCCCACCATGTATCATTTAAGAGAAAATATAAGGTCAATTGATCCCAGATTATTACTACTGAGATCGAGATAGGACACATGCTCATCGCGAACCCTAATATTATTTGCTTGAGCTACCTAGGTAGGTAAATATTCATTATGTTTACTAAGGTTGGTGAATGGATGGAAACTGCACTACTTACTTACCCGATACTACAGCAACAACAGCATCCCCCGGTTTTCCCTTCCCATCCATTCTCTAGGTGAAAATGAATATTGAATATGTGTTACCCGGCTCAGATGCCAAGGTATTTAGAGGTGTGATTCTTAACATCTGTGCCGAGCGATATTACATGAAAATAGAGCACTGGCGTTGGACTAAATGACCACAAGCGCACAGGGAGATTTATTTGTCCAGTGCTGTGGATGAAGTATTCGATATCACGGTTCCAACGGAAAGCTTGTTCTTGTGTGAAGTTTATCACTCGATTAGAGAGAGGGGGGTTCCCTGCTTGGATCAAGTAACTTAGTTACACAAGCTTTGATTGAGAAGAGTTCGAAGAAGCGAAGTGTACCTCACACTAGACCATTAGGAATCCTATCACCATTCATGTGCTGTGCCGTTTTGAGATAGGGCGCATTCGTTCTGACTTTACAGCTAGAGCTGTGGAATTTTAGAGAGGAACGGAACATTCTACAACGAATTCTAAATTCATTGTCATACATGAGAGCTTAGGAGGTAACCAATCGTAGGAAGCAACCTTGCAGCATGTCTTCGGGCAGATACTGTAGCCCTTAAGCAGTGTTCCTGTATAAATCGACATTCAGTGCGCCATTCTTTGCAATAACCTGACAAACCCATCAGTTATCTCAAGTTCAGTGACCCCAGAAAATCTAACTCAATATGAGGTTGGTCATTTCAACAGTGGTGAATCGTAACATTTTCTTGAAAATGGATGGTCGAATGATGTTGGGTGTCCGGCAAAGTCTCGGTAAAACTACCCATCGTCATCTGTACTAGATAGTTGAGAGGGTACAACACGAAAACAAAACTACATGCGCCAATGGATGAAACAGCTCACAACCTGAATGGATGTTTGGAAATAATATGCACTGAGAATCGATGAATGGTGCCCCAGCTATAATCTTCATTTTATTTAAAGCTGGCTGTTAGACGCCATGCTTTCCGCCTTTACAGCTCAACCCATTGTTGAGCTTCGCCAACGAGACAAATCGAAGATCGAGTCCGTACTTGCATTTGGTAGGTTCGCAGTTCGAGCAGAGAGACTTCAACTAATACTTTATAGGCGATAGGTTACTAGTAGGTCTGAATACTGGCAGTTTACGCATATATCAAGTCAACGAAACCCCAGGCAATGTCGGTTTACTTCGAGAAGTCGAGAAGTTCTCTACTCGAGCAATAGAGCAACTCGCACGAATAAAAGAAGCCAACGTTTTGATATCTCTATCCAATTATTATGTGTCGATTCACGATTTACAGACATACGCTTTACAGGAACAGTTGACGAGGACTAAAAATGCCTCCACTTTCGCCGTTACATCAAATATTGTCAAAGATCCAGCTACGGGGATACCAGAAATTATATCAAGACTTGCGGTAGCTGTAAAAAGAAGGTTGTTAGTATGGTCTTGGTATCAATCCGAGATATCATCCGAGACGACGGAGATAACGCTCGCAGAATCCATTCGAACCTTGACTTGGGCATCCGCTACCAAGATCATCTGCGGCATGAACTCTGGATATGTCATTGTAGATGTCAACACGCAAGAAGTCGAAGATATTGTTGGACCAGGAGCTATTGGAGGTGCGACCAGCAACCAGGGCGGTAGATTTGGTGGCATGGGCTCTGCAAGCATGGGTTACATGGGCCTCGGAGGCTATATACCCAAGCCATTGGCAACGAAACTCGCAGACGGAGAGATCCTGCTTGCAAAGGATATCAACTCCCTTTTTATTACCTCGGAAGGAAAACCAATGGAAAAAAGACAAATCCCTTGGCAGTCCGCGCCAGACGCTCTTGGATATTCATATCCGTATATTATTACTCTTCAAGCGCCGTCTAAAGGAGTACTTGAGGTTAGGAATCCAGATACCCTATCACTTTTGCAATCAATACCGCTCCCGAATGCAAATCAGCTCCATTTTCCACCTCCGAATATTAGCCTGGCACACGCCGGGAAGGGATTCCATGTGGCTAGTGAGCGATGTATATGGCGAATGGGTGCTACGGATTATGATTCTCAGATTGACGAGCTTGTAGCAAAAGGACGCTACGATGAATCACTGAGTATCCTTAATATGCTTGAAGATGCACTACTGCATAATAAACTCGAACGGGTACAGCAGGTTGAAGCTCTCAAGTCGAAACTTTACTTTGATCAACAAATCGAGCAAGCTCAGACTCTATTTAATCAACGCAGATATCGTGCAGCGATTGATATATTTATTGCTATTGAAGCACCTCCAGAACGTGTGATCAAATTATACCCGAAAGCTATAGCCGGCGATCTCTCAATCGTCGAGGAGAACAACGGGGATGTAGAAACAGACAACGATGAATCTAATGGTAGCGCAAACAGCGATTCAGATTCTAAAGAATCATTGAAACCAGCTGCAGTGAAGAAGTTGATCAGAAATCATCAGAAATCTAGCTCAGATACATCATCAGTCAGATCCTTCATGAGACATGATAACTCAGACAACGACAATGCAAGTATCAAAGCAGTCCCTGTTGAGGATGGTCCGCTTGAAGGCAAAGACCTTATTACAGCGGCCAAGGAGCTAAATGCATTTCTTGTGGATGCGCGAACCAGATTGAAGAAGTTCCTAGATTCTGAGACTGGCAAAATCATTCCTCCTAAAGAAAATGGTCACGGAGGAGCACCTGAACCGACGTTTGACTCCCTCTTGGCTGCCCCCGAGTCCGAAACCGAAGCTGATCATGACCGGGAGCAAAAGCTGTTGGAAACAGCAAAATTGGTAGACACAACTCTTTTCCGCTCCTATATGCTATCAATGCCCAGTTTGGCGGGACCACTCTTTCGGTTGCCGAATTTCTGTGACCCAGATGTGGTTAATGAGAAGCTCTTAGAGACTGGAAGATACAATGATCTCGTTGATTTCTTCCATGGCAAAAAACTGCATCGTCCTGCTCTTGAGCTTCTCAAGAAGTTTGGCATGGGAAACGAAGAGAATGAAGAAGCACCAACACTATATGGACCCCAGAGAACTATTGGATATCTACAACACTTGCCTCCCGAGATGATTGATTTGATTCTTGAATTTGCTGAATGGCCTCTACGAGCTGATCCCGATCTTGGTATGGAGATATTCCTAGCAGATACAGAGAATGCGGAAACGTTGCCGAGGGAGAGAGTCCTCAATTTCTTGCACGACATTGACATCAGTTTCGAGATTAGGTATTTGGAGCATGTGATCAATGAACTCAATGACTTGACGCCCGATTTTCATAATCGACTCGTTGGTGCATGTATGCAAGAATTAGACCAACGTCAGGACAGAGATTCTGAGGAGTGGAAAGATTTAATGGGACGAATGGTATCGTTCTTGCGGTCGAGTAACATATATTCATGCGGGAGAGCCTTTGGGTTGATAGACAGAAAAGGTTGGTGTCAATTGTCAAAGGTGCAGCGTAAAGTTATTAACATTCACCATAGATTCTCATTTCTACGAAGCTCAGGCTGTGGTATTAAGTAACATGGGTTCACATAAACAGGCTCTCGAGATATATGTATTCAAGATCAAGGACTTTGAGAAGGCAGAGGAGTGAGTTCTGACAGGTACTTGTTGAAATTGCTTATGTTAACATGGTCAGATATTGTAATCGGGTCCATATGAACCAAGAAGCTTCAACCTCATCGCCAATTCCTACCCATCGGGCTACGACATCTGAGTCGGATGACCCACTGCCTTCTATATACCACACCCTTCTTTCTTTATATTTGAAGCCACTACCCCCGTATAAACCGAACTGGCCACCTGCTTTGGAACTTCTATCCAGGCACGGATCCCGTCTGCCCGCATCCTCAACTCTTGATTTGATTCCGGAGAAGCTTCCCGTGGCAGAACTCGAATCATATTTCCGTGGTCGTATACGAGCGGCGAATTCGATTGTCAGTGAATCCCGAATTGTGGCAGGTTTGAGAAAGAGTGAAGTTGTGCGTGCACAAGCAACATTGTTACTAGGGGATGGTTTACCGAATGGTCAGGGAGGAAGGAATAGGAGAGTCGTCGTAAGTGATGAGAGAGTATGCGGTGTTTGCCATAAGAGATTGGGAGGAAGTGTTATCGCCGTCTTGCCGGATAGTTCTGTTGTACATTATGGGTGTTTGAGTCGAGCGAATGTGCAACGCCCATCTTCGTCGCGGGGTTCGTGGGGAGGACGATGATATTTAGATTGTGTGAATGGTAATAGCTACATAGCGACGGAGTTTTTGGGACAACCGGTAGTGCAGCATCAAATATCGAATATTGTAATCATGAAGAAACACTTCAATCTTCCTCTTCCACGACCTCCTCCCCATAATTGTCTTCTTCCTTGGCTTCATCAATTACCCCACCATGAATCTTTGATCCATCTGCACTTTCAGCTTCTCGTAGTTTATCCTCCTCCATTCGTGCAGTCAGTTCCTTATTGATCTTTTCTTGCATTTCCCCTGTAGCTTTGCGTAATGCCCCTAAATATGCGGTTCTCTCACTGACTTTGTCGGATGCAGGCGGCGTAGGTAATTTATGGACGTGCTCAAACTTTTCGTTGTTTGGGGAAGCATATGTTGCCAACAGGACTTGGTACGGAGTGTCAGGATCAGCCGCAGAGGCAGAAGTGGTGGCGGGTGTATCTGACATGGTCATTGTCTCTTTATCTTGTTCCTTTTATTTCTGGGTAGGTAGGTATTCGCAGAATCACAAAGCGTTGTGGAGGAGATCTTCTGTGATTCGATTCTTTCAATCGTTGTTTTGTTTCTTTAAGTTTTTTCGGATTTTATCTGACGCCGGAGACCAGGTTTAGAATCCCCCGCGAAACTCCAAACAAAGTCCAAACTACGATTTTACGGGCTAGAATCAACGAATACGAAAGAGTAAGGAAAGCTTAAGCCTGAGTACTCGTAATATCACTCCCCAGCCAGGTATCAGACATGGATTAAACTTGATAAGGTCATATTGATCAAATAATCCTACCGTCGCATTGGTATTCAACCCCATTCTTTAGATCCTTCCTCGATATTCATAACCTCCACAACCAACAACATCATTTTTAGATTCTATCATCGAATCTACTTCTCTCTTTCGTTCTTTCTCCTTTCTTCGTTTTTCGTTCTTCTTTCTTGACTATCTTGCGGAAATGTTCAAGACACAGCGTTCGTTCGCTACAATCAACGCCCCGCTGTTGTACCCTGAAAGATACGGAAGACTAACGCAAAACATATAAAAGTCCCACTTCCAGCAAGACAACCATGTCACAGTCAACAGGCCCTTCTCTGCCAAGGGCACCAGGGAGCTTCTCTCCAATTGTGCAACAGTCCTCATCGTCTCAAGGACCCGCACTGCGAAGAATTGAGTCCTCATCATCTCAAGATTTACCTCCACCTCCCTCCCTTGGCAGCAGAGTTCGTCCACAATCGCAGAATGCGCCTGCCCCTCCACGTCCTTTTTACGCCCAATCGACCAAGAGCAACTCAAGCACCACCAGCTTACAGAACTTCTCACGGCCAACACTCGCGCAAGTACGAACTGATATCGGTGGTACGCCATTGAGGAATGCGTCGCCTCTTACTGCAATAGCTTCGAAATCATCCATCAGTGATTTCAAAGTTCACGGCCGCAAGCATTCACAAACTCAAGGTTCTTTCGAAGCTTATTTACCAACTGCCGCATCATCCAATCTGGGAAGCATGTCAAATCTAAACACGGGGCTCTCTGCGAGTCATATAGCTGCCCAGGCTGCTATGCAACACCAAGCGCAGCATGCGCGCCAAAGGTCCCAGACTGTGCCAACTCCTCAATTGGATACTTCATCAAATAGCTCGGGAAGCAGAAGACCTTCCAAGGGACCCATTTCACCACCGCTCTTAAGTTTGACGGAAGCTTCAGCTCCCAGGGATACTAATTTTGGGGGACAAGGATATCATAATGGATTACTTGGGACAGGATCGAGTGTTGCTCAAACAGCTGCCAATGTTGTGTTTCCAAAGTCTCCCGGATCATCGCCAGCATTGACACCCACAGAATTTGAACAACGAAATCTTGCTCATGTTCAAGCTCAAGCAAAAGCCCAAGCCCAAGCCCAGTTATTACAGGCACAAGCGCAAGCGCAGTCACAAGCACAAGCTCAAGCTCAAGCCGAAAAACCTGCCAAAATGGAGAAGTCCAAAGTCAAATTGTTTTCGAGGCCTGGAAAGATCGGCATAAGTAAGGATAAAGAAGCGAAATCCGGAGGTCTTCCAAGTCCCAGTATGGTTATTCCTATGTATCCAAGACATTGGTAAAACACTCAGCTAACAGTTATACAGATGCTTCAGGCGCTCCGAGTATGTACAGCATGGCGAATTCTTCTTCGGCGACGATACGACCAGTCGATACATCACAACCAGAAAAAGAAAAAGACAAGGAGAAACATAAACATCATTTCCTGTCACGGCAGAAACACAAGCTGAGCAGCAAAGACGATCATCATTTACCATTGTCATCGGCGGCCTCGAACTCCAAACCCGTAGATCCAAGTGCGCCCAGTAGCTTGTATAACTTCAACCTTCCACCGAGTCCAGGCCCTACATCTACAAGTTTTGCGAAAAGTATGAGTGGCCTAGATCTAAGACATGGAGGAAGGGCATTAAGAGAAAAGAAAAAAGAAGAGAAAAGCGAGACCTTGAGGGAAGGAGAATTATCATATCAAAATAGTAACGAATGGCCTGGACCATCTAGTCTTGGTTCAGCAGGTGCATCATCATACTTAGGTCCTGCGGGGGCAGGATATCCTTCTAGCCTTTATAGTGTTGACACAGCGGATTTGGGGAAGTATGGACTGAATAACATGGGAGCAGACGATGCATGGCCGTTTTTAAAAGCAAAACTACTTGCCATATTCGAGGGCGAAGACTTAAGGTTATGTGTGGAAGATCTCAATCGTCTAGTCACGTAAGTATTAATCAGCCCCTTTGAATTTTCCAATTTCCTAACAACTTTCTAGTACCCATATTCAACGCTGTATACAAAAAAGATGCCCAAATCATGTTATAGAGGACTTGCAAGAGTTACTCGAAACAGGCTTTAGATCCCTTGACCAAACTTTGCGTCGAACCCCTGATGAACGCCTCATACCACACCTTGTAGAAATGTGGCTCTTTACTTTCACAACCGTGCTTCCTTACATGCAAGCCGTGTTTCTCCCGCTCGATCTCGAATTTTCTGGCCACGGACCCCTCATGTCACCAGAAGTAGCGCGCGAGACCTGGGGCGTTATTTCTTCATCTCAATCCAACTCCTCTTCCAATGTTCCTGCAGGTCGCGCTCTCGAGGTGCGCAGAATAGTACTTATAGCATACCGCGACACAGTAATTATTCCTCGTTACGAAACACTGAAAGGGTTATTTTCTCGCCTGTCCCTCGATTCTATTAGTCTCAGCCTTCCAAACTCGGATATGAGATCCCCAAGTCCAGATAGTCAAGGTAGACCAGGAACAGCCATCAGTTTAGATCCGAGCCATGGATCTTATTCGTCTCAAAATACCACGCTTTTAGGAGGCGGCAGTTCAGCGGGTGATAATTCTGGTTCACGTTCTCGAGCAATCTCAAATGTCAGCTATGGATCCGAACATTCTGCAGGTGGAGGTCTTGGTATTTCCGGAATGCCGCCTCCTCCAAGACCATTCACACCAAGTAGTACCCATCCAGCGTTGACGTATGGGTTGAGTGCGCGAGAAAGAAGACAGGCAAATGTAGAAGATTCGTCTAAGAAACTTACAGAAGCTGTGGGTAGAATGTTACAATGTGTGAGTGTACTTAGTAGTGTGGGTATACGAGCGGGCAATGATTCAAGTCAGGAGAAGATGGAAGACTTGGGACGGGGTCTTAAGTTGAATTGGTTAGGGAGAGGAAGGACAGGGAGAAATAGAAGGGGGTTGGTGGGTGGCAGAGTGGGACAACCGGGGGCGAATTTGTGATGGGTTATGAGTATGCACAAGGAGGGTTTCAAGGCTACCTGGTGTTTGGTTCTCTTCTTTTTGGGTTGGTTATGATTGATGGGTTGATGGGCAGGTCGGTATCTAGGTAAATACAGGATTTGTGAATTAGGTGTCTGGTGGGATCATGTCTTCTGGCATTGGAATCGGTCCCGGTATTGGTGGTTATGGAGGGTCACTGTTTTAACTGCAATTTTCCATCGCTCTTGTAGAAGATGGGTGAGAGACTGTACTCTCTAAATGGTTCGGCTGGCTTGCTTTGTTAATGGTTTGATTGGTGCGATGAGTCTGGACTGTAAAATATATTATTGGGAGGGTACGATGGAACATCTGTATATATATGTACGAATATGATGAATTAAAAAATGAGAAAAATTATATAGAACCTGATATTTTGCAGGAATTTGATGGACTTGAGCAGTGTTTCAATACTCGTCCTTGTATTTGCTGTGGATAGGTTGAGAGCTTGGGGGGGGGGGGTATTGAAAGAGATAAAAACACGCACCACCAGTATTATTATGACGTTCTATCCCCGCCCAGCTCAAAGAAGTCCCGAGCATTGAGCATGCAATTGTTAATCCTCAAGCTCCCTCAAAACCCCTAAGCCAACCTCAACTCTACTCAACTCGCAAATCGAAACATTCAAACCATCAAATACCCACCTTCATCTTTCCTCCCGCTTTCCCCTGACTTACCCCATCCCGTCTTTTCTTCCCCTCTTCATCCTCCTTTTTCCGCAATCATATCAACTCGCCAACTAAGCAAGCCCTTTCTCTCTCTCAACCGGTTGTTCTAGAAATCCAAGTCTCTAAATCCCACACATGAACAAAACATCCAAATCAAAACCTTTCCTCCTAAATCCTGCATCCTCTCAAGTCCTCACGCAGTACCAACCAGCACACATATATCCACGAAGCGAGTGATAACTCAGCCCATTCCAAAAGATCTAGGAGATGCGAGTAAGTAAGTAAGTGATAGCAGGCGCAGAGCAAAGAAAGGCTCGAGTATGCGATTTCTTCACCGGATTTGAGATGTCCTTTTATCCATTTTGATCTACGACGCCGAGTTTTATATCGATGTCGCGTTTTTGCTCATTCGCATTTATCGCATTGTAAACCTACTATGTTAGCTGGAGTTTAATGAAATCCGGAAACGACGCGAATTCTCGTCGCTGAGTAGTGAGTTTCTCGTCATGATGTAGAGATTGTGAAAGGTGTGTGTATGTACATGTACTTGAGCAGAGACCCTCTCATTTGAGAACGTCTTGCAGAGCGATCTTAGGTTACAGGAGGAAGGAGAATATTTCTTGGACATATACCTGTCTGTGTGAGAGCTAAAGCCATCGACGACTACTGGTAATTTACTCTCGTTTGTAGCCTGATTGTCGGTTAGGGAGGGCAGTGGTCTATACTTGTTGAATCGAATTGTTGTGTATAATATTTTATTAGTGAATGTGAGAATTAGAGAAAGAAGAAAATGCTTTTGTGACTAGCGGATCGCGAGCAGATATGTCTGTAATAAAGTGAGTATGCAAAATATAACTGTTGATGCGAAGTACACATTGTTTATAGGCTTCATACTCAGGATAGTGACTTTCATGACCAATTTCAATGAGTACCCTCCCTCCAGATATTATTTTGTACAACAGATATCAAACATAAATCGTTCCGTGTT